AAAAAAGCTGTTTTGAAAAATTGGGCAGCTTTTCCTGTGGCGAAGTAAAACGGGGTTTTAATAAAAGGAGGTACACTAGACAATGCAGCGATGTTTAGTAATTTGTAATAGAAAACCCAGTAAAGTCATCCTCATTTATAATAATCATCCTATTTCTCACTGTAACAATAGGACGTAAAAAAACATACTGAGCCATTGCCAGGAGAAATCGATGGGATGAGTATCTCTTTTAAATACAAGTAATAGACTGCATTAAACTAGAAGTTTCTTGTAGAAGCGTGGTTAATCTCTTATAAACATTTGGAGTAATCTTTGAAGTATGTGGGGATTGAGGCCTTCAATTTGCTTACCGCCTTCAAAGTATAAAAATTTTTCTTCTTTTTCCTGGTAAATGTCGTACAAACGGAACGGTCCTTCAACGTAACAGACGTTGCACCGGTCGTTTATAAATCCCTGAGGAAAAAGTCATGTAAGTGCCACAACTTTTAACTCAATAAATTATGCAGCGGAGATTTACTGCTCATAAAAAATGAAGTAACATGAAACAGAGGAATTATAACAGTGGTGGTCACAACGGAAAGCAATTATTTCATAAAATCACAAATATGCTTCACATTTCTAGATGTTTCAAACTGGTGGTTCATTAGCTCTGTTCGAAATTTTTGAAAGGATAAGACTGTCAGTAGCAGTTACCTTGACGTCTACGTTTATGGCAATTGTATTCAGCTGTGCAAGTGCAAAGAAAAAATTTTGTCCGTCGGAGAGAACTAATTGTGAAACCAATGGCTGTTCAATGTCGGTGTACTGAGTGTGTCCTAAAAAACATTTAATTAAGTCATTTCAACAAGAAGTACATGGACCCTAACGAAAACTCTGGAGAAGGCCCAAAAAGTAATCAATAAAACAACTTTGTTGGTGCCCTATCTCTTTCAAATCCCTTTTTATTTTCAGTTCTGTAACCCAATTTTTTTTGTGAAACTTACTGTCCTAAAATATACTGGCCACTAAAAATCAAACTATGTACTTTTCGAAGCTGAAGCTTCAGAATCTATTCGAAATTTCCACCTGTAGCCAAGCATGTCTTCGATTAAAAACCATCATAAAGAAGATTTCGTGAAACGAGTTTCCCGCCAAGTTACACACCTTCAAAACACATGGTCCTCTTGTATTTCCTTGCAACCAAGGCTACGTCTTGGCCCTTCACCTTTATAAAAATTAGCTAATTTCCTGATAAATTAAAAGTACAGTGGAAGTACGTGAGACAAATAGAAGACCAGCTTAACGCAAAACTTCACTAAAGTAAAAACCACTCGTTCTAAGTGAATGACTGTAACTTTAAGTCAGAAGAGTTGCCACAGAGCACCAAATCTAAAGCTGCTGCGGTTCTACAGAGCAAAAATCACGCAAAAGCTTTTTAAAACATCCAAAAAAACTTTTTACGTCTTTGTAAGGTTTATCCCAGAGGTTTACCTGTAGAAAAAAACGAAATTTATTTCAAATTTCAGCCACTAAATTATCGTCTGAACCTCATATTAGCTGTTTTTATATGCAAGTAACTAGAGTACAAAACCTGAAAAAGGCCTCGGTGGCAAAAAAATAAAGAAACCTTGGCGATTTGATGAATTTTAACATGGCAAGAAGTTCATCATTCCTTGCCCGCTTTCCGATCTTTTGAGTTCAAAGCTAGGCGTCGCTAGCCACCGTAAATTAAAATAATTTTAATTAAGTATGCGCATTGAGTTAAATTATTTTAAATTTTATGACCGTAAATTTCAGCGGTGAAGATTGGTGCCATGCATTCATAAGTGGTGATCCATCTATTCGTGTTTTCCAATTTTCTTTTAAACCACTAGCACCTTTTTAAGCAAAATTATGCCATCTCCCCCACTTAGATAACCATTCCTTTCACCCCTTCTTGCCTACGACCCATGAAAATCATTTAAGAAATGATATTAAAGGCTAATAACTCGTTCACTGTATCATGCAAATTTTGGGCTTCTGTTCAGACTTCAACTTATATCACTGTTAGGTTGTTGAGTCGTACCGTTTTTCTAAAAGTTGCTGAACTGAGCCTATAAATACCACCCAAAACTTTTCCAATATTCTCTTTTGTTCACAAAGCCTACAGCTTCACTGCGAAACAGTTATTCAGACATGGCCTAGTAACTTGCGCAAAAAATATTTGTCAGCGGTCCTCCTACGTAAAACAAACTTATTAGCAAAAGAAATCGCAGCTCGAAGCAATTATTTATAGTCAATGGTTTATGCAAACCTAAAGCATGAGCCTGGCCGTTGAGCCACGAAAACAGTGAGACTACCGAAGTTGCAGTCAAACAGTCTCTTACTACTTGTTCCTTCTCTTCTCCATCGACTTTCCACCAATCACAGAAATTCCAAATGGGTGTTATGTCCTTGAAAGCGACTCTTCCAAATTTATTTGGGTCGCCTAAGTGAGAATAGTTATTACGCTACAAAGAAAAAAAAACGAAAGGTAAATAATGAGAAAGGAAGATTATAAGTTAAGTTATAAGTTATAATTACCACAATCTGGTTCGTATCCTGGGCATTGCCACAAAGGTTGGTCGTCGACCAGCAAATTGAAAATCTGTGGAGCGTATAAGACGTCATCTAACTTCAAATCCTTATCATCGAATATGGGGCAAAAAAGCTCTTCTTCATCGGAAAAAGGGAAAACCTATGGTGACAAAACAATTAAAACTGTATGTCTAAGTCGCTTGAAGAAGTGTAGTAAAACGTAATCTCACGTCCACAATTTAGACTAATTGCTCTATTAAAGAATGGCTTTTTCAAAGAATAGTTAATGTTACAAGTAAACTGTAGAGGTGCTTCATAATTAAAGACATTGAGAAAGACCTACCGGGGTTAGCGGCTGCTTATCTCTCACCTGGACAACCAAATCATCTCGTAATACAAATGCTAATTCGCCAAGTTGCCTACTGTAATGTCAATTACATCAAAGCTTGTTCGCTGTCATAGTTACAAAACATTTGCAAAAGGTTAGATACAGTGCCAAGAATTCCGAAAAACTAACATGTCATCACCAGGAAATCGTCGTTTTCTTCTTATATCTTCTACTTTATCCGGCTCTCTGTCGCTATCGTAAAGAAAACGAAAGCCTGATCTGATCCAAAATGATTCACAACGGGGGAAATAAGAAATCTAAAAGCGCCAAATGGTCCAAGACACACAACAGCAAAACTAATCTAGAAAACCAACGATGTGCACAATGCGATTACATTGCAGTCGTGGAGCTGATGTACATTGCGACTCATCACACTAACTGCTGCATCAACAACGTTTCTCAGCAAAAAAGTATTTTTTTCTTTCCTTTCTTGTCCAGATCTACT